AGGATCATAATTTAAGAAGTAGACTCAATTGTACAACGAATATAGAATAGAAAAAAAAGTATTCAACTAAATATTGAAACATTAAATGGTGTAAAGTAATGGAAAAAAAAATTGTTTTTTGTTTTTCATAATATAAAAAATAAAAATGAAGTTGAAACGAGAATACACAAACGCATTGATGAAAAGAGACTAGTTTAAGATTACTTTGTCAAAATCGATGTTATAGCGTCTGCGTCGTTGAATCCCGACATTGCACAACAACATTGATCCATTACTCTGGATCTGCATCCTCTAATGTGAAAATTCACTTGACTATGTAATGCGGAGAATCATAATCATACAAAGGTAAATTAATGGGAAAAAAGAAGGAGAGAAAAAAAAATGATAAAATAGGTAATTACGAAATCATAACCGTTGATTTACCTTTGTATGGTTGTGATCTTCCCACATGACTATATCATGTTTTTTTGACACATTAGAGGATCCATTTCCAGTTTTAATGGTATAAACCAACGATTTTATATTTGTTATGTTAGATGATGTAATATAATTTTCTTACATACATAATTTTATGTGGATCCCGTCTCTTGATTTTTCTCTCTCCCTTCTTTTTTCTGCTCTCTCTTCTCAATTGTGTTTGTAGGAAAGTTACGTTACATAATGGGCAATGCTTTTCTTATGCTACATGAGATAGTATTATCTCATGTAGAGACATAATTGGGTGGGTCCCACGGTTAAAAGAAAGGAAAAAAGAAAAAGAAATGTTGGCTCGGATTGCGATGTATCTGTGACATGAGATAAAAACATTTATGTAACTTGAGAAAAACATTTCTCTTACATAATATAAGATAACTTTAAATTTATCCATAAACCAAATGCCTTTGAAATTTAGTGTGATGCCTTAGAATTCTAGCTTTCGCACATTCCTATGTAAGATCTAATTCCAAAAATCATTGCTTCAAAGCTCCAAATCTTAAAATGAGCGTGCGCTGCAGATCATTCCTGAAAGATAATTGTATAAATAAAAGTCAACCACACACTATCTATAGTACAATTTATAATATCACTAAGAGGGGAACTTCGTAAAATTTAAACTTGCTACACAACTTTGACCCGAAATTTTGCCAATATTGAACACACTTCAAATGGAAGAAAGAACTTTCCCATCATTGACACCACTATTTGTAATTGTATGAGATGTAGATGAACATTTTTCAATAACACATGAGGTTGAAATGTTCGTACAACTCACTTTTGGGAAATTCGTTCCCTTAAACTCCAATGTCAAGCGGGTCCAGGGGAAGCCCGTGGCGGGGGCCACCACCAATGAGCTAAGGCTACACCAACCGTAGCAAGTGGATCCGACACCATGTCTCAACCCAAAACCTTAAGGCATTGGGTTCATGGGTCCTTTCACTTATATATTCTTCACTTAGCTCATTACCAACCAATGTGGGACTCATCACACTTGAATATCTCAACAATCTCCCCCTCAAGTGTGAAACCCACCATTGGTATGCTCCCCCTCAACCGAGTACCCGAAGCGTAAAGTACTCGACCCGCCTCCTAACCAATCACTAGGCTAGCTCGAGCCCAATCCGGCTTTGATACCCCTCTTGGGAAATTCGTTCCCTCAAACTCCAATGTCATGCGGGTCCAGGGGAAGCCCGTGGCAGAGGCCACCACCAATAAGCTAAGGCTACACCAACCGTAACAAGTGGATCCGACACCATGTCTCAACCCAAAACCTTAAGGCATTGGGTTCATGGGTTATTTCACTTATATACTCTTCACTTAGCTCATTACCAACCAATGTGGGACTCATCACACTTGAATATCTCAACACTCACATCATTTATAAATGTAGAGTTCCCAATTATATACAATAAATGATGTAAAAAAAGTACGTTTGGCATGGCAGACAGCAATTGGTAGCTTTGGCGTTTCAGTTAAACGAACCTCTATTAACCTTTGAACACCAAAAATCACTTGTGTTGACATTTTGATTCACGCTTGAAATATTCCCAGCTCCATAACACGTATTCTGATCATCTGCACCCATATGGTAGATCCAACACACACACACACACAACAATCTCTTAAAATGTTGCACCCCTCTCCATGTCCTGGCTCACAAGACTCATCAAACGACCCAACACATTGAAGGACTATGAAGTTTAGTACGCCACTATTCCGAAATGCATAACCATGCATCTAAAGACTTTCAACTATATAACTTGTAATATTCTTTCTCATTGTTATACGAGACAATTTGTATTGTGTCATACAGCATAAAAAAATATATGAGACTCATTTATTTATTTATTTATTTTAATATCTATTATCCACTTTTTTGTGTTGATGAGAAACAATATCCCCAAAAGTTATAGAGGGAGAATATTCTTATTACTAAAAAAATTTCACTGTTAACTTACTACCTATCTAATCATCATTGGGTCAAAGAGAGAATGCTAAAAAGTTTATGAAAAGAAAGAAAATACAAATCTCGGTAGATATTAAGTTGGTAATGAAAATTTTTGATAATAAAAATATCTCTTATATGCTAAAGATAATATTTATTAGATGTAAGTTATTTATTTTGAATTAGCGGCCACGATTAGGATTTATCATGTTTATCGTTTACGTTTTGAATTCAGATATTTGTCTATATATAAGGATGTAATAATCATGAATAAAGCAGTAGATAATTTATTTTACATCCTATTCTCTCACTCAAAATCCTCACCTCCAGTAGATATAGGGTATTAACGGGCCGAGCCGAGCCGAGCTTTGATCTTAACGGGCCAAGCCTGTATTTAAACGTGTCCGACTGGCCTTAGCCTGTTACCTGTTACGAATATAATATTGGCCTGTGGCCTGGTTTATTTACAAAAAATAAAAGTCTGTGTAAAGCCTGTCTTAGCCTGTTAGCATGTTAAAGAATACAAATAAGAGAACAGAATTCCACAAAAAATCAATTTCCAGATAGAAACCTTAGCTTCCAATTTGCAGCAATAATTTACAAAGTCTACAATAAATAAATAAAATTAAAGTGAGAGAAGGTAGATAACAGGTTATATTATCTTAGCCCATTATAAAAAAAGTGCCAACAAAAATAAAAATAAAATAAATAAAATAAAAAATAAATTGATACAAACGAGCAGTGCACAGTGGAACGAATGAGTTTTTGTGGGTTTGTTTGTGTGAAGGAGGATGAAGGATAATATAGAACAGCACTAGTAATTCCATAAATATACATAAATTCAATATATATCTAAAAAGCATAATATAGAACAAAATTATTCAAAAAGTCTGTTAAACCAATAAAATGAGGTGAAATAAATTGATAAGAGAGAGTTATTACAAGTAGTATAAATAAATATTTATATACTAGGCTAGCCTGGGAGGCTCTAAGGCCGAGCTTCTGAATTAGAGCCTGAAGCCTTTTTATTAAACGAGCTTTTATACAAGTCCAAGCCTGGTTCCAACACGAGCTTTTATTAAACGAGCTCAGGCCTTTACGAGCCGAGCCAAAGGCCCCTGGCTCGTTTACCACCCCTATGTAAAATACACTTTCAAAGTATCTGTCGGAAATTTTAGTGAGTGATGAATAATGAAGTGTCATGTCATATAACTCAGAAATGAATTAAATAAGTATTAAAGACTCGTAAATATAAATTTAAGGTTTTGAATAAAAATGTGAATTGAAGTCTACTCTGATTTGATTTCCTGCATAGCATAATATGAAAATATTTGAATTCAACTCCTCTTACAATAAAAGTAGAGGGAGGAAAAGCTCAAAATGAGCAAATAAATTCTAACGGATCACATAGGAATTTTTTAGAATCTACATAGATACTAGCACACACCCCTCTCCCAATATGTATTTTAATTTAACATAAAATGTATAGATAATAAACTATGATTATCTATTTAGCCTAACATAAAAAAAAAAATATTTATCCTTTTAAATGATATAATCTTGTGTTATTTTAGATCCTAACTGTTTTCCGTCAATCAACGATTATAATTTATTAGGTCAAAATTATTAATTAATAATAAGTTTGGTCCATTAAGTTTGACCCAATAAATTATAACCGTTGATCGATGAAAATCAACGGTTATGATCTAAAATGACATAAGATATAAATCCTTTAAAAGACAAACATTTTTTTTCAAAAATAAAATATGTGGAAATAAAAGGGAAAAGAACCTGGGTATAAATGCCATGTATTCCAGAGATATTTTATTTATTAGGAATGACACACTTTCGAATCCAAGCATCCAATGGATGAAGCAGACTACATTCTGCAATTGGGAAAAATTTTGAACACACAAAAATATAGAAGGAAAACAAAATGTTCATATTTTCTGCTTCACTAAATGGATGTTATAAAGGACGTAAGTACAAGACAAGAGAGAGAGAGAGAGAGGGAAGAAGCTAATAAAAAGTATAGTATGATAATAAATTAAATTGTTAAACAACATTGCAGTTTATAGGCCATGTATTGATTGGGAGATGAATGAAAGAGTTTAATTTGTATTATGAACTACTCTATCTTCATTAAACGCCAAAATTATGCACTATTTATATTATGAACTTATAATTTGTAATATTTCCTTAAGCTAAAGCACCATACTAGTGAAGGCAACGTTTTAACAAAAAGTATCCATGTGATGAGCAAAACGTGTGTGCGCTTCTTCTCTCTTGAGTATGTGAAGAGAAAGAGAATAAGAAAGAGGTGTGGGGACACATGGCTAAGTGCAGCACGTCATTTGTCTAATTGTTTTGAGTATTTTATATAGGAATAACTAGCACTGTGGTGCTGTAAATACCCATAAAGGAAGTAATCATTTTGGTTACGCTAGAGAAAAGAACAATATAAAACTTACGTAAAACATTGGCCAAATTGCAATATTTGAATAGGCTGTTGAGGATTGTGTATACTATTACTATCTCACTTCTTGCAGGAATCTAAACAACAAAAAAGAGGTATAATATAGAAAAGCACTAGCACAATGTGCTGGACCAGACTAACTTTTTTGATATAAATTTAAGATGCACTTTCAATATAGAAGTTGCTTCACCACTCCAAGAGCTTCCACTGCAACCTCTTCACACAAATTAATGTCACGCATTACAGTGAGTGCTTTGTCAGATGTTTTCAAAATAGAGCACACTTTGCCAAAAGCATTTTTTCTTGTTGTGTAGTTCTTGTTCTGTTTCCTTCACATTTAACCCACTAGGATTCTTTCCTAAATAAGAAGAGATTTTCATTTCAGTTTCACTTACCCTTTTGACTATTTAAGGATGCAATCACTAAACCAAGCATAATATTTCAGATACTAGAACCAGCACAACCAGAATATGAGTTCCCAGAGTCTCACATTCCTTGCAAGCCTGTTTCTTTTGCAGCTTATAGCTAGTTGTCAAGCTCAACTACGTGTTGACTATTACAGAAACACATGCCCAAATGTTGAATCAATAGTTCGCACTGCAGTTGAGATGAAATTTCAGCAGACATTTGTGACAGCACCTGCTACACTTAGGCTCTTCTTCCATGATTGTTTTGTTCGGGTCAGCAAAGTTATGATCTCTTTTTCTTGCATGCACCCCTCTTGCAATAGCTACTACTAAACTAATGTATTTGTGCGTTTGTGGACAGGGATGTGATGCTTCAGTGATGCTAGCTTCAAGAAGCAGCACTGCAGAGAAGGATAACCCTATCAATCTTTCACTAGCGGGTGATGGGTTTGACACTGTGATCAAAGCAAAGGCTGCGGTTGACAATGTACCTGGCTGCCAAAATAAGGTTTCTTGTGCTGATATATTGGCTATGGCAGCTAGGGACGTCATAGCATTGGTAAATAAACAATAACCTTTGCAATAAAGAATGAAAGTTGGATACAACATATTAAGGGTGTTTTTTTTTCCCATGAACCGAATCAAATTGGTTTAAACCAATTCGGTTAAAGAACCGGTTTATGTGTCAAACCAGATTATAATTTATAACCGATTCAAAACTAGTTCAGGTATGCAAACCAGTTCTGCATTGATTCCGAACCGTTTTCGAACAGGTTCCAAACCAGTCTTAAAACTGATACCAAAAAACAAGGTTCGGTTATTTTGCACAACCCTAATACATATTTCCAAATAAAAATTCATAAAATTCTATCAAGTAAGTTCAATCTTTGTAGATTAGAATCTAAACACCTACTTCTTCTAGCAAGTGCAGCATATCTACATTAGGGTAACAGTTGGGTAGATTATAAGCAGCATATAGAATATCATATTTCTTTTGACTTGTCTTTGTAAGATTATTTTACCTTGGATACGTAGAGAATTATAACATTGTAATTTCTTGCACAATTCAGCTGAATACCAAATGAACATTCACTTTCTTTCAGACAGGAGGACCATCTTATGAAGTAGAGTTGGGAAGGCTAGATGGGAGAATCTCTACAAAAGCCAGTGTTAGACACCATCTACCTCATCCTGAATTCAAACTAGCACAGCTGAACCAAATGTTTGCTTCACATGGCCTCACCCTTGAAGATCTAATTGCTCTATCAGGTATTTCAATCATAATGGGCATAGTAGTTGTTAGCTTCCTGCCTGAGAGTCTTTGAGACTCAGTATTGGAGTGTGATACCCATTTGGCTTCACCATCCCATATTCTAATATAAATTGAAATGTGTGGTCGCAGGAGCACATACTATTGGGTTCTCTCACTGCAGCCAGTTCTCCAAACGAATTTACAACTTCAGAAGCAGGAACAGAATTGATCCAACACTTAATCCTGCATATGCAAAACAGCTCCAGCAAGTGTGTCCAAAAAATGTGGACCCCAGATTTGCCATTGGAATGGACCTAACTACGCCTAGGACATTTGATAACCAGTACTACAAGAATCTTCAGGAAGGAAAAGGACTCCTTTCTTCTGATCAATCTTTGTTTACTCATAAAAGATCAAGAGACCTAGTGAACTTATTTGCAACCAACAGCACAGCCTTTGAAAAGTCTTTTATAATTGCTATGACAAAGCTTGGACGGATTGGGATCAAAACGGGAAAGAAGGGTGAAATCAGGCGTGATTGCACAATGGTTAATTGAGCCACTGACCTTGTTTTCAAATACTTCTTTCAGTTTCATTTTCCTTTGTTATAAAGAATGTTTTAAGACTAGTGCAGTGCAGGAATGGGAATAATAATAAGTTATAATACAGGCAAAGCCACTTGAGTATACTATAATTTGATTCTGGAACAGTCTCTAAAAGAGACTAGGGGTGGTGACTTAAGCTTTGGGCTCTTTCAGATCAATTCAAATAGTGAGGCATTTATTTTGTTTTTATTAGCATCTACCCGCCAATCGTTGGATCCGGTGCGAATACAAGTTTAGGACCTGGACTGTAAAATAAGAGCCTTGTAAAAACAGGGTAGCCATCTCACCCTCTCAACTTTCTTGGGCTGGACGTGGGGGAGGGGGAAGGAAAATAAAGAGAATAAGATTGAATTCAGTATTGAGCAACGGTATCAATACTAATATACTGAGCTTTTAATGTGATCTCAATAACACTAATATTCTCCCAGGAAAACAAAAAATAGATGAAAGTAAACCCTATCAATGATGTTATTTGGTAAGTAAAGAGAATAATATCTGCTCCTAGCATAGATGGGAAAAGGGAGTAACCATTCAAATTTCACAGGACTGTCATTTTTTGTTTTTTTAGGATAACTTAAAAAGATGGATTGACTTTGGTCTCTTGAGTCTTTCTTCATCATTATATGTGATTCTGTCCAAACTCCTTAAACTGTATAGTGCTGCTGAATTGTATCAATGTCAAGTCCCTTCAGCTTCACCACTGACTCAACATGTCCCTTTAGAGTATTAAGCTCCCTAAGCCTGTAACCCATTTTCAAAAATTGTTAAAGGCACTTCATACGTATCATTCATTCATTCATTCATTCATTCATTATCCATCAATTTAAAAAATTGTCACTTCCTGAACCTTTTCAAGTATTAACATGATGCCATACAAGTTAATGGCTTACCTTGCAACTTCGGCTCGTCTCTTGGCTTGCTCTGCAATCTCTGAAAGCTCCCTATAGCCATTCTTGTCATTGAAAAGGTTGGAAGTTTCCGGAGGCTGAAGACCATGAAGTGTTCTCTGTGCAGCCGCCCACTGTGCTTCCCTCTCTTCTTTGCCATAGTCTTTCTTTGTAGTGAAGGCTGTCTGTAGTGAGAGAACATGAACATGATTTGAATCTTGATACCTCCAGATTAGATCAACAATGCAATAAATAATAAATAATAAAAAGAACCTACCTTGTTCTCCAAAAGATTGTCCCAAGCCTTCCCACTCAGAATATAGCGGATTGCAAATTTGAGTAAATCAAGAGGGATATAGGTTACCAAACTATACAGCCAGATTACACCAGCCCAACCCCATCCCATTCCCTTTATTCTTGCGAAGCCCCAGTTAGCATATACTGCTATAAACGTTGCTACCTGTCAATTACAGAGCAAATTATTGTTACCACAAAAGAAAGCCAGGTGCATTTGATTAACCACTCTTTTCGGCTTTCTAGCTAATAGAGCATCTCTCTACTAGAGTATTATGTAAGCAAAATACTTCACGTTCTGTGTCCGACACTCCCCGACACTCCAACGCGTTGTCAAGACTCAAAAAAAGTTCGAAGGTTGCGTTGCATTACTTTTTTAGTTCCAACTATTAGATTCGTTGGATTATGATTACTATTTTATTGAGTTCAATATAAATATTTAGAATATTTTATGTTTCTTTGCAAAATTGATAGGTATTATAAGTTTAGCTTCATTTTTTTATTAAATTATTAAATATTATATATAATATACAGTATATAAATTAAAATATTATTTAATATCAAAACATATCTCCTAACATGTCGAAATCTAGTATTTTTTTAAAATTAACATGTCGGAGTATCATGTCGTATCCCGTGTCCCGTGTTGGTGTCAGTACAAAATTAGATGTAAACAACTATTGCTTCTCTCTGGCAACAACAGAAGTATTGACTTGATGTCATTTTGACGCTTTATCATGCTCCCAAAATTCATTTTCTTAGTTTAGAGTTGTAGATTACATTTTCTTTTCTTTTTCTTTTTGGTTGTTGTTGAGAGGACCGAGTGCATAATTATCAAGACAAAGCTCTAAACGTAATAAAATGATGCTTCTTAAATAATAAAATCAGACAATACCACAAACACATGCAACTTTATATACTGCATTGCTGATAGGAGAATAAGAGGTTCAAGCTTACCAGCTGAGCAATCATAAAAGCACCCAGTAGAAGAAGACCAGGTCTTTCAAAAAAAGACCAGCTGCGGGACCTAGTGACAAAAATTAGGGCCTGGCTTATTATACTGACTTGTAAGTATAAGGCTGCCATCATCTCTTCAGGGCTATATCTCAGAGTCCTCACACCAAACTTGTTCTGCAACAGTGAAAGTTGTGCTAATAGCGCTTAGGATTTCCGCTATTTGGTGATGATATTGAGAAAAACAAGAATTGTAAAGTATTTACAGGGAAGAAGTCGGTATCTTTCATTGCCCAGAAAAATATTACTGTCATTAGTGCCATGTAACTGCCTAGCACAACACCAGTAGCAAATATCTCCCTCAGTTTCCAGCTATCGGGCAGTGGAGATGGTTTCACTCGATCCTTGGATATTGTCATAATGGTACCTAAAGGTATGGTAGTGTAAAGAAATCAGTTTTAAATATTTTTAGCACACAGTCAAAGTAAATAACATGATGGTGAAGCAGATATTATCTTACCATCATTTAGTATGGCAATAATCAAAACCATGAAGGGTGCAAAATCAAACTTCCAGATCAACGCAATAAACATGAAACCAAACTGCCAAATTAAAAAATGAATAAATCACATAAGTATATGATTCGATTATATAAGTATGTAGGAAAAATTTGGCATTTTTTAGGCACTTACCACTATACGAATGGTGATTGACACAGCATAGATCTGTTCCACAATCAAACTTTTTTAAGATTAGACAACTAATAACATTAAAATAAAGTCAAACAATTAAATTAGGTATGCGAGGAAACTAACCGTATAGTTCTTCATCCTCTGGAAAATAGCCCTGCTGGTTAGCACTGCACTAATAATGACACTGAGACCAGGTTCAGTGAGGACAATATCAGAAGCACCTCTGGCAGCATCCGTAGCATCAGCAACAGCAATTCCAATATCTGCTTTCTTTAATGCAGGGGCATCATTTACACCGTCTCCTGTCATTCCACATATATGCTTCCTCTCTTGCAGCCTCTTAACGATTTCATATTTGTGCTCTACAATATCCCACAAAAAGAAAAGGGATTAAAATGTTAGAAGTGTTGGGCAATTTGACATGTAATTACTCTTTTGATAAAAGATAGCAGTTTCCATACTTGCAAAGAAGCCATGAACACGAAAAGGATGTATGAAGTACTTGAAAGTAAAAAGGAATGGATAATTGGTCACCATTATTATTATCTTATAAATAATGAAGTGAAGCAGTAACTCTCTAATCAATATGCTATACATATATATAAATTTAAAGACCTACCAGGAAACACTCCGGCAAATCCATCAGCCTTCTCAATCAACTCGTCAACAGGAAGAGCTGAAATAGAAGCATCCTTGTCTTGGCCAAGCAATGCAGATGATGGATACATGTTTGTTCCCATTCCAAGCCTTCGGCCTGTTTCCTTGCCAATGGCGAGCTGATCCCCTAGAGTACGACAGACCCACAAGCAATTTCAGAACTACAGACTTTCAGTTATGGTATGAGCTACAAGAAAGTATGACCTCAAATCTTACCAGTAATCATCTTAACATTCACACCAAGGTTAAGAGCTCTTCTAATGGTCTCAGCACTGTCGTGCCTGGGAGGATCAAACAGTGGTAGCAGACCAACAAATTGCCATGGTCCACCAGGACTCTCTTTCGTTTTCTCGGGTACTTCCTGTTACACGAATCATACAGGCAGAAATAAAGGAAGGGCATTCAATCAAGTAGAAAAATAGAATTTGATATCAGCTTTCTGTACCTGTCTTGCAACACCTAAAGATCGAAGTCCACGCTCAGCAAACTTATCAATTACTGCATGAACCTTTTTCCTGACATCCTCTTTACAGTTGCAAAGGTTTATTATCTAAAACAGGAGGAAAACATGGCTTAGTCATCTTCAAAAATATCATAAGATGGTGGTGACATTGAAACCCATATTTACCTGCTCAGGAGCCCCTTTGCTAGCTCGATGCCAATTTCCATCAGAATCAATGTAGGTTAGAGCAGTCCTCTTGTCTACAGGATTGAATGGAAGGAAATGGATCTCCCTGATACCAGCTCGTGCCTGGTCAATCAGAACATGAAAATTAAAATTTATATATATTCCAAATTCAAGATTTTTTTTTTTTTTCTCTTTATCCTTGATGTCCAAAAGAGAGAGATTTTGGCATATTTACCTCCTTTGGGTCAGCAAGCATTCCAACAATTGCAGCATCTATGGCATCCTGGTTTTCAGTCCTAGAAGCTCTGGCTGCTAGAAGGATAACATTCTCCTTCTCAACACCCTTAGCAAACACCTCAATCAAGTTTCTATCAACACTTAGCTTATTCAGGGTGAGAGTCCCAGTTTTGTCACTGCAGAGGACGTCCATCCCTGCCATTTCTTCAATAGCTGTCATTCGTTTTGTAATTGCACCCTGCTGAGAAAGCCTGTGAGAGCCAATAGCCATAGTGACAGACAAAACAGTTGGCATGGCAATCGGTATTCCTCCAATCAAGAGAACTAATAGATTGTCAATTCCATCTCTGTACTTGCGGTGTTGTATTGGGTACATGACTATGAGCTCGATTCCTATTCCAACGGCAATTGAGCAAATACAGAAATTACCAATTGCTGTAAGTACTTTCTGAAAGTGTCCAACTTGGTTAGTGCTGTCCACCAGATGAGCTGCTTTACCAAAAAAGGTGTGCACACCAGTAGCAATCACAACTGCTTCTATCTCACCCTTCTTAACAGTTGATCCTGAGAATACTTCATCTGAGGAATTCTTCGTCACAGGAAGAGATTCTCCCGTTAAAGCAGACTGATCAACACTCAAAGGATCACCCTCAAGAAGACGGGCATCAGCTGGAATGATATCACCTAATTTGATGCTGATTATGTCTCCTGGTACTAAAATTGCAGCATCTTGTTCACTCCATCGACCATCTCTTAGTACCTGAAATTTGGGGCCAGAAAGAGTTGAACAAACATTAATATAAGATGGTCATGGTGCCATAAATACTGCACACATAAAATAAGATTGATGATAAGACAAAACCTTGGTCTTGGGAGC